CTTAATTTCTGCAGCTCTTTCTTTCTTTCTTTTTTTGGGTCCAGTCATGAGGCCTGAACTCTGGGCCTGGGCACTGTCCCTCAGTTCTTCAGCTCAAGGCTAGCGCTCTACCATTTGAGCTACAGCGCCACTTCCGGCATTTTTCTTTTTGCTTATTTGGTGCTGAGGAATCGAACCCAGGGCCTCAGGCATGCAAGGCAAGTGCTCTACCACTGAGCCACCTTCCCAGCCCCATTCTGCAGCTCTTTCTTTACCCACAGGGAAACAACTGGCCTGAGTGCTTGGCAACTCATTTGAGGACATAAGTAAATCTCTTACCTTGGCTCCTCTCACTAGGGCACAAATCAATCATATATCACATCTTCCTGGTCGCCACAGAGCACCTGCACTTGCAACCCACCTGCTAAATCCCCAACCTGTGTCTGGGCACATCACACAACTGCTGGCACCACCAGCCTGTGCCGGCTGGCCTCTCCACCCTCAGGGTCACTTATTACAAAACATTCTGAAACCATGATAGCTGATGAAGGGCTGTACATGGATCATGCCCTTTTGCTTTCGGATGCTTTGATGTGTGCGCCTTCTAGATTCTGGTGAACCTTCCCTCCCAGGGTAACTAAGTCCTAGAGATAGCCAATGGTTCAACTGTGAGTAAGTGCTTTGCAGGCAAACCAATCTAGAGCCTATACCCCAACTACTCCTACAAAGGCTCTCATGTGTTGAGACCAACACACCTGTCCTGATCACCCCAGGGCCAGGTATCAAACAACTTAGAACAGTTCTATGCCCCAGCACCAACTGAAATGATCTATACTAGCTAACCCCCAGCCTCTCCATTCTGCCTCACTAAACTTTCTAGGGAAAACTACAGCAAAGACTTCTCTGCTTTCTGACCACCTGTGTGGGAAAATGTTCTGAACAAGTCAGAATAGCCAAGGCAAAAGCTGGCTTCTGGAGAGGCAGGTCTGAGCAGCTTGAGCTTGGTGGACGAGAGGGACGAGTTTAAGGCACCGTTGGGTGGCAGGCACAGGACAGTTTTTAGGAACTGTGGGTAGTATCGTTTCAGTACTGTGGTCTCCTAATCTCTAGGCTTACTACACCTGCACAGTCACAAAACTTACACATAGGCCAGACAGTGGCTTCCGGCAAGACCCTAAGCAATTCTCAGTGACTCCTCCATGGGTTTCAACATGGAAACCCCCCTTTCTACAGCTCTCCCCCGGCTGCTTACCTTGTTGGTCCTGTTGTTCTCCAAATAATGGCAGGGCAGGGTGTTGGGCTCTACTACTCCTGATCTCTATGGGTCACAGAACCTCAGCCCCAGCCACTCCTTCATGTGCCATGTGGGGAACATCATCAGCAAGGCTCACTTGCAAAGTAAGATTTTAAGGACCTCTATAGATGGCCCTGCCCATCCCCTTTTGCAGGCACTCATGTCATATAGACAAGCACGAGGCACAGCACAGCCTTCCCCTGCCTCTGTCCACTCTCCAAGGACAGACAAATGCTCTCAGCACAAGCCACAGCACATCCTTCTCACCCTGACCAGGAGTCACGCTACGCATCTGTGCAGAACCTGATGATGGGCACCTTGGGAAGCTGGGTTTCCTGTTCATGTTCATGCATGTGTTTATACTTTACGGTTACTGCAAGTACCAATCGAGCTGCTGGGCACCTAGGTTGCTTGTTGGCCTATGAAAGGACAGAGCTGACTGCAGGTAGTAGGGAGACAAGTGGTGATTACAGAGATAAGGACAAAGGACAGACACTGCCTCTGCAAGTCTTTGAAAGCCAGGATTATGGGGCAGACCATCAAGGGTGGTCAGCAAGGATGAAGTAGTTGCCCCTGTTATACCTGAACTTCTCTCTCTATTAAGATGATATAAATAGTACTAGTGGTACTACTTAATAGTTATAAGAATGTATAGGCCTGATGAGCTATGTATTTTATAGAATATATACTAAGTACTTTATATCATAGTAATATACATATAAAATACAACAATTGTTATGTTGACCGTCATTCCTGACATATATGGTACTAAGTACGGGCATTGTTTTCATTGCTTATCATGTGTGAATTCCTTGACTTCTCCCGACCAAAGTACTGACCAATTCTGAGGCTCAGAGAGATTAAGGAACCTGTAAGAAGTTGCATAGTTATAAGGTGGCAGAGCTCCAGGTGCTGTGTCTAAGCTTGGCCCTTGGTGCACCCCTCAGTGTTCAAGATAATACCATACCACAAGGAAGCTGCTGTTAGGATTCACTTTATTTTTCTTTGTGAAACTGTGTTTTAAATTCAGGGTGTTATACTTGTAGGACCACTGACCTCTACCACTTAAGCCATCCCTCCAGACTTTTTGCTCCTAGTTTGTTTTTCAAACAGGATTTCCTCCACCTCCTGTCCCACTAGCTTTGGGCTGTCATCTTCCTATCTCTGTCTCCCTAGCAGTTGGGGTTATAGGTATGCAATACCATGTGTCCCTGAGCTCCTTTTTGGGGGCGAAGAGGGGAGAGTGGGGGGACTTAGCACTCTACCACTTGAATCACAGGTCCATTTCTGGCTTTGTCTGTGATTAATTGGATTTAAGAGTTTCATGGACTTTCTTGTCCAGGCCTGCTTTGAACTGTGATCCTCAGATCTCAACCTTTTGAGTAGCTAGGATTATTAGCGTGAGCCATTGGCACCCCGTGTATCTCACTTTCTATAGAGACGAGGAAACAGGGACTAAAAGGTGTGTAGTAGATTGCTGGAGCTGCACAGTCAAACTGCAGCACAGAGCTCTGAGCATATGGCAAGTCACATCCGTGACCAGCTATGCACAGGCACATCTTCACCTGTCAAAGTCCCTCCGATGATATAATTTTAGTTTTAAATGAGTGTGTTTTGTGGAATTTTGCTTAGATCTTCAATCTCATCTTGTCATGAAACCTTAATATAGTCCTAAGACTTACAGGGAGAGAAAATGGTAAGGAAAACTCCCAGCCCTTTCCCTCACAGACCAGCCTGCGAAAATGGAGCTGCTCTGGGAGATCCCTCTCAGCCTCACTTTCAGGTATCCTCTTTCCTGGGGCAGGTAGGAGCAGCATCTGGGAAACAAATTTAGCCCTTCTGCAATTCCTGGGGCTTGTGTTTCCACCAGGCTGTATTCTCCATCACCTTGTTCTGCTGACAGCACTGGGGGTGGCAGCTAGTTATCAGGGTGATAGGTGGGAGGATCTACAGGACCAGGGTAAGGGATGGGAGCCAGAAAGTTGGACAAGGATACAGGCTGTAGGTATAGGCTGTGAGGATCCAGAGGAGAGGGCAGGTCTGCCCTCTGCACAATGAGGATGAGCCCTTTGCCACTGCTAAGGCCCCAGCACTCAGTGCCTGGCACAGGGGGGGAAAAGAAAAACAAGAAAAAGTTTGTTAGAGAAATCAATGTCCCAGAATCCCAAACAAGCAAAAGCCCAGCCACAAACACTGGCAGGAGAAGAGCACAGGAGGGACTTCCGTAGAAGACAAAAGGAAGCATGAGAGCCACTCCATCCTGCTCCTGAAAGCACCTCCTTTGTGAATGAGAGACACATGGGTGCCCTGAAGCAGGCCTGGCAGAAGAGCAGTTTTGGCCGCTGTGCTAGTGGAGTCACCTCTTCAGTGGATGGCCCTTCTTTCATGCTATTGAGCCCCAGGCTCTCCTGACCTGAAGCACAGTGAGATCCATTTTGGTTGTAGTCAAGGGCACTGCTCAGGATAGATCACTGGAAGTACACTATGAAGTAAAAGGCTAGGGCCAACCACCCTCCCTGCACCTAAGGACAGGAAGCCCTCTTGGTGACACTGAACATTTAAAGCAGAGACAGCAGGGATTGAGTGCCAGAAACTCCATTTTCATCAGTGACTAAACAGCAACCCAGTGTGACTCATGCCATCTGCGCCACCGTGCACGGCATGGTGGCAGAGGTGAGGGTGTCAGCATCAGAGGGGGCTGAGAGGGAAGGGGAAGAAAGGCAGAAGAAGCTAATTATCGAAAGGCTAAAACTATCTCTTTGTTTTCCTTCATTTTCTTCTCTATCCATGGCATAGTGGTTTCCTCTTGGGGGAGTTTATGAAAATCCAGTTGCTAGGTCACACATCTAGACAGCATATTCAGCTGGACTTTTTCCCCCCTTAAAAAAGTCTGCAAAGCTTGTTACACATGGCTTGAAAACTCATACTGGACTGATTTGGAGCAGGGATGGAACTTTTACTATAAAGGACAAGTAGTAAGTATTTTCAATTTGGTGGGCCATGCTGCCTCTCTTGAAAACAGACATATGTATGCAATGCTTTGTAAACATGTTACGTGTAGCTGTGTTTCAATAAAACACTATTTACAAAAACTAATGGCAGGCTAAACTTGGCCTAAGGCTGAAGTTTGTCTACCCTTTACATAGAAGGGACAAGGAACTCTTCTAAATTACTTGTTTTGGTGCCAGTCCTGGGGCTTGAACTTAAGGCCTGGGTACTGTCCCTAAGCTTTTCTGCTCAAGGTAGTGCTCTACACTTGAGCCACAGCTCCACTTTTTGCGTGTGCGTGTGTATGTGTGATCAGAGGAGTCTTGCAATCCTCAGATCTCAGCTTCAGTAGATAGGATTATAGGCATGAACTATTGTTCCCTGGCTAAATTATTCTTTCAACACTTCCATATTTCCCTTTCCCAACATAAGATCCTCTCATCGCCTTGCAAATTCATTCATAAAAATTCATGTCAGAATAATCCTGTGGAGTGGGCACCATCTAGAAGGTGTGAAAGTGCTCTGGCACACAGTGGATCAATCAACAATTCTGCTGACTTTGGTGTATGTTTGAACAACATCAATAGTTAAAAATAAAAAACAGAAAGGTTGGGGAGGGAGAGAGATCTTTTTAGGAAAAAAACCCACAAGATGAAAGTAGTGTAACTTTCAGGGACTGTTGAGCCTGTGCCCTGTGTGTGCAATCGTGTGAAAGACAGTGCATGTGGAGGATACTCACGACCAGTACAGCAGCATGAGCAGGAAGGGGCAGATGATCAGGGCCTGCAGCACTTGCCAGTCCCGGCACAGGGCAGCCAGCCCGGGCATGAGGAATTGGCCTGCCATAGCCACGAAGCTTGCCACCATTGTGATCATGAACCGTTTTCCAGGTGGGCACAGCTCTATCCCTGGAATACAAAAACCAACAAGAGGCATGAGGCCCCCGTCCAATGGATGAGAGAGCCAATGAAAATGACATATGAGTGAACTGTGGTCTGCTGGGAAGGAAGCTAAGTCACTGTCTGAGGTCACATAATGAATTGCTGCTTAGCTCAGAACCTAGGAAACTCAGCTGCTGTGGGGACAGAATTTCTGAATCCCTTATTGTCCTTCCCCTCACCTTGGGTACCACCCCAGGTGGGTTTCCTTGTCTGTTCATGCTGCTGCCATTCCTTTCTGTCTATGGTCTTGCAGTGGGGACCCTCAGCTGTTGTACAGGACTCTAGGAACATCCATCTATTCAACTGCATTCCAGCTCCTGGTCCTGAACCCAAGGGATCCATGAGAACTCTGAGTACCAGGCCACCTGGAACTTTTTCACTCAGAGCTTTTTCTCCCATTGTCAGATCAAAACAAATATAGTCAAACCAATCTCATAGTTAATCTATTAAACAAAACAAAAGCAAACCGTTGGAGTAATAACCTAACACAAATCATACAGTAATGACCTAACAGGAATGCTCCTTTGCCCTGTTGGAATCCTAATTGCTGCCTACTGTAGTGGGTGGCCAAGACATCATATCTGATTATTTGCATATTTGTTATCCAAAAGGATAACAGTGTCTGTCTTTAACAAATGCCCAGTAAATCGGAGAAGATAAGATGCTGATCCTTCTTGGGTCTGTAAGAATCCATTCTCTTAATCTGACTTGAGTAAAAAGCTGGTACCAAAACTTTAGTCTGTACACATACTATACAATTCCCTATAACAACAATCCTTAATACTAGAAAAAGCACCTGGGTTAAATATGTATCTATATATTTACTTATATAAATATGTATTTCCCTGTATAGCATACACATTTGTTTGCTAGTCATCTTTTCTACTATGCAGCATTTGCTGAAGATAGATTGCTGGCTTTTTTTTTTAAAAATTATAGTCAAAAAGATATTTTAAAAAGCAGGAAGGAGAAGAATACCCCTCAAGAAGAAAATATACTATCATGCTGTGGTGTCTGGAGACTGTTCATAGGGTAGTGTAACTTACAGGTTGTCAAAATAGCTTATCTGCTGGTTGTTCAGAGATCCTGGCAGAGGTAGGAGGCCCAATGGCTAAAGGGAGTAAGATGGACAGATAAGAGGGAGGAAGGGTAAATTCTACTTGGCTATAGGATATTATCAGTCCTGACAAGGATAGGCTACAATTCTAGCCATTACCTACACTAGCTCATTCTGAGGTAGGGTGAGTGATATTGTCACTGGAATTCTTGTTTCTGCTCAGCCACTGTCTTCATCATAGCTATTGATGAAAGGGTACCAAGGGTAAAGGTCTTCCTATATACAGCTCATAAAGAGCTCCTTGCTGTTTAATTAGGAAAACAGGATTAAGCAGCCCATTCTTGGCCATTTGCTGCAAGGCTGTTCCTTTTGGCATTATAGATCAAGGTCACTTAAAAGATTACTTCCTAGCAGGGACCAGATATAGCATTTCTGTTCCACTCAAAATTAAAAAAAAAGTCTTTTCAGAGCAGACTAACAGTTGTAGGCTCTAGTTTTCACTGATTAAGTAGCAAATTTGTTGCTATGGAAACCAGAAATCTGCCTTAGCCACAATACCTTTAGCATCTGAAGATGTGGCACAAGCTACTTTCAGATAAGAAAATTTAGCACCTGGCTACCTATGTGACCTTTAAACAAAGGCAGAGAATGACAAAGCAGGATGATGGCTTCATATCAGTGGGCTTGCTAGTATGACAGACATCACACATTGTTCCTGGAGCTTTTCTCTTCACTACTCTAATTTAGTGACACATAATAGGAAAACATCTGTAACTACACAAGTCCTGCCCTATCTGTGGTTTTGTTTTGCAGTGTTTCAGTTACCTGCAGTCAACTGTGATCTGAAAAATATTAAATAGAAAATTCCAGAAATAAACAAGCTGCAAGTTTTAGATGGCATACCATTCTGAGCAATGTCCCTTTGTCCAGTGTATCCACATGGTATTTGGATACTCACCCTTTAGTCAGAATGATTGTCATGGAACCACAGTGTCTGTGTTGAAATAGCCCTTATTTTACTTAATAATGGTCACAAAAGGCAAGAATAGTCACCTTGGCAATTCAGACATGATAAACAGAAGCAGTAAGAGCTTTCTTAAAGTGAAAAGTTTTAAAATTTCTCAACTTAAGAAGGAAAGGAAAAAAAACCCCTCATATGCTGAGGTTGGTAAGATCTACAGTTAGACAGATACATATTATGGAATGGATGTACTACTCTCTGAGGTGTCAGGTATCCACTGGAGGTCTTGGGCCCCTAATTCATCCATGAATAAAGCGTCAGGAGCTCCATGTGGTTCTTTTACCACATGTTCCCGCTGGGATGCCTAACCCTGCACACTAATCTACACTTATGTGACAACATGCAAAGTATCACAAAGTATTTCCAACACCAAGGTTAACATGTGCAGATGATGGAGGAGAACAGTCCTGGAGGACAAGTGATCCTGCAGTCTCCTCTGCCTGAGTTGCTATGGTTAGTTAGTCTATCTGTGTGACTATCAGTGTAAAAATGGTTAAGCAGTCACAGCTTTTCTCCCTAGGGGCTTCTCTTACCTCTCCTGCAAGTGGCTGAGTGGCCCCTGAACTTCTTGCTACTTCGAGAGGGGTGTAAGAACTTGCAGTGTCAGCACTGCAGGGAGCTTGGGCTCTAGGCAGACCTACAGAATCAGCAACTGCATTTTAACAATCTCCCTTCACCACCTGGTGAGGCCTGGCTCTGTGTGCTGCCAGGGAGGTGGGCAGTCTGTCTCTTGGACATAGCTTCCTAAGCTGAAATTTTAGAACCACCTTCCTCCAACTTCTCCATCCTCCTATTGTCAGGAATCCCAGAAAAGGACACAACATGCCAGCAGATATTGTTATTCTAGCACATTCTAGTTAAGACACAGTGGCTTAACTAGAGACACAGATGTGACTGCTTTCAGATAATTACCATTTGTGCCCTGACTACCCCAAAATTCTTTCCACTGCTTGAATCTAACTACCTTATGATGGCAGCTATTAAAAAAAAAAGTCATCATCAAGGAACTGTAGGCCCTCTAGGCTTGTTATTAATCATAAGTCATAAGTTCCTTTCTGAGGGAGGAGAGAAAGAATCCACTAGAATATTATTAAATCTTTAAGTGTTGGAGTTTGCCAGGAGGGAGGGAGGACTGTACAGGGACATTTTTTTGCCCCTTGTGGCTTGCTCTCAGCCAAGGTAGAGGATTCTCACTCCTTGGAGGGGGGTTTTAGCCACCTGCCCAGTGCTACTGGTCTGGTCTTGAAAGACAGGGAATAGTGTCTAATGCTTTCACAGAGCCTGGGTATTTCAGAGCCTTTGGGTGATCACTGTAAGGCCCTGGATGGATCTTTTTTTTTTTTTTTTTGTCAGTCATGGGGCTTGAACTCTGGGGCCTGGGCGCTGTCCCTCAGCTCTTTAGCTCAAGGCTAGTGCTCTACCACTTGAGCCACAGCACCACTTCCAGTTTTCTGAGTGGTTTATTAGAGATAAGAGTCTCATGGACTTTCCTGCCTGGGCTGGCTCTGAACCGTGATCCTCAGATCACAGCCTCCTGAGTAGCTAGGACTACAGGCGTGAGCCACTGGTGCCTGGCTACCTGGCCCTGGTTGGGTCTTGATGCTTCTAACTGCCAACTTCTCTGCCAGTGAAGGTAACTCCAAATTGTCTTAGAACAGACAATGAAGAGTTACAAAAAACAGTCTTTTCACATAAAGCATGAAAGATTCAAGCATAGTTGCCCAGCTACCTAGCATGTAGTGTTGGCCCTGCTCTAGGCAAAGGTCTCTAGGACCAGAGGCCCTGGGTTCTAATCTAGTACTTGGGATCAGTCCCTTAAGGGCTCTGTGCCTTAATCTTGTCATCTTCCAGATGGGATGTTGAGTGTTAAACAGCATAGTGCATCATAGCATATATAACAATGTGATTACTACTAGTCTTATGTGAACCAATGAGATGAGACCTATGTGCTTTCTATGTTGCTCATCTATCCAGTGACTTTGAGAGTAAGCCAGAGGTCTACTCTGAAAGCGTCTGCACTGAGGCCTGAGGTCTGTGAAGAGAAACAGTCTATACTTGTTCTTCTTTATATATTTTAGTTCCTGGAAATTCCCCCAGGCATAGAAGCAATCAATCATCAATTGAAAGATACAACCAAATCAAGCACTGGTGGCTCCTAGTTACTTGGGAGGCTGGAAATGGGAGGGTCATGGTTCTAAGTCAGGCAGAAAAGTTGGCAAGACCCCTTTTTCATAGTGGTACACATCTCTTTAACTAAGCTACATGAGAGACTGAGCTTGGGAGGATGGAAGTGATGGACCAATCCAAGCAGAAAAGGTTGTAAACTCTGTCTCCAAGGAAGGGATGCTGAATGCAATGGCACATGCATACATGTGATCCTAGTGACAATGAGAAGCCTATAGTACTAGGATTGTGGGAAGGAAGAGACAGCTTATCCTAAAAATAACCAATGATGAAAAATAGGGCTGGAGGTGTGGCTCAGTGGTCATCATGCCAGCCTAGCAAATGCTAGGACCTGCATTCAAACCCCAGTATCGACAAATGAACAAATAACAATAAGCCTCAGAACTAAGGTTCTAGGGTATGGCAGAGGGCTTGCTTACAAGTGAGGCCCTGGGTTTGATTCTTAACTCTCCCAAAGCAAAACAAGAAAACAGAACTAAGTGAATCCAAGAAAACCACCTTAAAAATCCACAGTTAAAATTGTTTTTTTCCCTAATACCTTAATGGAGAGAGCTTATAAGCAAAAGCACTCCGAAGCAAAAGTGCTTTGTTGGTAAGTCCAGAAATAGAATGAAATGGCATGTGACCAAGACATGGCCGGGCATTTGGTCAGTAGTAGTAGGAACCAAGACCACCACCAGTAGGTACAGTGCAAGGCTTTGGGGA